CTACCGCCTGGTTCCTCATCTCCACAACATCTTCGTTAGAGTCGTAGAACCCAAAGTGGCTGCGCAGGAAAGAGGAAGCAATTACTTCTTGTCTAAAGCTTCTGAAACCTAATTTGATCGAAACTTCATGTTGACAAACTGAAAACTGAAAATAACCACTTCTCTGTTTTTGTGTTCCCACCAAACCAACATGTGTTCCTTAATTGTAAACTTCTAACTGTTTGCTATAGAAAATCTGATGCACAAGATGTCATTTATCTAAATGAGGACCAGAGTAAGCTGCTCCTGATGGTGCCTAACATGGCAGCTGTCCTGTCAGAGACACTGAATTGACCAGGTAATGAATTGTAAAGGTAAAGCATTTCTTAAAGTGGTAAAACCTGGATTGCCATGGAGTGATGACGCCGTCATCTGGTCCTCCAATCAGCACCATCTTCTTGATACGCAGGAAGTTTTCTCTCCAATCTGAGGGAAGGATGTGCAGATGCTGATAAGAAAAAAGTGTTTTACATGGATATCACTGGAGCTAAACAGGTCATATAATCAGCCTCTATTATGTTTTACTTTTCCTACAAAATATGGATTCCTCTCTTTTAAAGATAATAACTCCAGTTTTGTTTCTGTTCAGCTGCAGAAAGTTTTAGCATCTCCATGCATTGATTTGTTCTAAGCATCTGTGTGGGTTCAGGCAGACCCACTGTCTGCCTGTAGACGGTGGGTCTATGAGAATAAAAACATCATTAAGTAATGAAATAAAGACCAAAGGTGCCATGAAGGCAGAAGGTTCAGTACCTTTCAGGTGCTGGTGAGGTATTTCACCGTTTATCGGAGGCAGAAAGGTGTTGCCCTTCAGGTAGCAGGCTCTGTGGTGAGGGTCTGCACAGAGAAAATGCAGCATATTGTTGGTTTTGTGTTCTGCTCACACAGAGGCTCATGCAGAGTTCCTGATCCCCTCCTACCGTTCCAGTAGTCACAAAACGAAAAATGCTGCCCCACTTTGTTGTAGCAGAAAAGAAAAGCGGTCTTCTTTACACAGCCAGGTAACCAATTCAGGTAATCTGTGTCTGTGGAAAACATCAGACCTGTCAGCCTTGAGTTGATTTTCCTTTAAATAGAAAAGAAGAGAAGACACCCAAACCCTGAAGCAAACATCTGACCTCCATACTGTCCAGCCAGGGGTGACGACAGGGAGATGAAGGTGTGAACGTTGTGATTTGGAGACGTAGACAGAACTGCACGGCAGACTAAACCACCTTAAAAAGGTCAAAACAACTAAATTAGGCAAATGTCAGATAATGGTAGTCTGTGGCTGTCGCTACCAGTATGAGTTCACCTGGATGATTGTGGCAGATTTAACAGAAACAAACAGTAGACGTTGGTCTCACATTGTGAACCTCTGCATGCCAGAGGGTGGAGGCGTCCCGACGCTGCTGGTTCTGACCCAACAAACACTCATTTCTCAGGAACCAAGGCTGCAGCTACAGGCTGTAGGCCAGCTGATTACCTCTGGTGGTAAGATTCAAGTCTTAAGGTTGGAAAGCCTCATTACCATCACCCTTATCTTTAGCTTGAGCCACAGATCCTCTGTCAGCTTCAAAACGTTAATATTACTGCCAGTCAGAAGAAACATCTTGAAGATTTGCTTTAAACTTGAATCTGCCTAAATAATCTAATAGTTTTGTTCAGGAGAGCTCAGAGGTGACAGATGATTTCAGATTATGCTAATATTTAACCTGACAGATTTACCAAGACGGGGGCTTTAGGGATGTCAATCACTCTTATGTATGCGCTAAAAGGTTCCAGCTAACCATAATGCTAACAGGTTTCTGTTATCACTAAGGCTAACATCATGCTAAGACCAATGCTAAAGACTCCTGCTAACACTAATGCTAATCAACTGGTTTTTATTTTTTGTAGATTAAATTAAAGGTTTCCAGTTTTCTTTGAGAGGAGAACCAACCAAAGCAACTTTATTTATTAACTAACTTTAATAAATAGCCATGACTGATTTCTTTACCAGGCCAGAGCGACAGCAGTTTTATTTGTACACCTGCAGATGAATTAGGGCTTTTATTTACAGGTCTGCTTTTCCAACCAGCTACAAGTTAAAATTGTTTCCATGTTCTGAAGAACTGTCAAGAAAAAGATTCGGAGGCGACGTGATCAGGTCTGTTAACGACCAGGGGAAATTCCAGGTAACGTTGTGGACCCAACAAGTTACAACAGGCAGAGTGAGTGGAAGAAAACGCTGCCTACACATTACATACAGCTGGAGGAGGAATGAAATGACGACGATGTATTCTGTGGTATTTGTTACCCATAAAGTTTCATAATCCTTAAATAATGAGGGATTCAAGAACTTTTGGAGCAAGTTGCTTAACTCAGCCCATGAGTTTGATCTTCATTGATTCAGAAAAAAACATTGAATTTTCAGGGTCTAATCCAGTCATTCATCCATCCATTGTCTACAGCTGCATGTTGTAGCTGAGCTGATGGGTGGATGTGGATGTTGGAAGGACAAACTGATTTCATAGGTTAGACCTGGAAAACGCTAAAATTAAAGATGTTTTTTGTCCATTTTTGGCTCACTCAGCGTCACTTTTTCTCCTGCCTCAGGACGGTTTGACGGTTGGAGTCTGCTCACCTTGAGAGAAACACAGCACATGGACTCCCTCAGGACGCGCGGTCATGATTTTCTCGATGACCTTCCTGAACTCTGGGACTTGAATCCACAACGGCTTCATGCTCTTACAGTTGTTGAACAGACTGATTATCTGCACCTCCGTACCTGGATGCACCTGGATGCAAATCAGTAAAAATAAATAAATCTGAGAAACAAGCCATTTAAAACAAAAATTGTTACTCCATAAATCTGTAATTACAGATGAATCTGGCAGTTCTTCAGCTGAGTGTTATCAACCAACCACCAGATGTTTCCAGTAACGCTCCCTGAAATAAAACTCACTGTGAGGAATTGAAAATCACAGAGGAACAGAAATCAGGGGTTTGAAATGTCGGGTTGGATTTCACTTCGCCTGAAATCTCCACCTGTGCTTCAAACTGTTCGCAGTTTTTACTTTATGAAGTTCATGAGCTGAACTTGATTGCAATGTTCCTTTGGCATCTATCTGAGCTATAACGGGGTTTTCTTCTACATTTTGTGGAATTAAAAATGGTGGATGTTCAACAGAAAAGCTAACATGGTTTAAAACTTACTTTTTCTGCCATGACTGAAAAAACTTGGAATAATAAATGGTTGACAGAAGTTCTAAAACATATAATAAAGTTATAATTTGCTATCTAAATGTCTTGCTGTATCCTGAACTCAGTCTTCTTTTGTTAACAAAACTAGTAATCCAAATGATCTCATCACCAATCACAGAAAGTCACATTTTATACCTGACATAAATCTGCATCATCCTTTAGCTCATCATCCTCTGGGATTTATTTATTTATTTATTTATTTATTTATTTATTTATTTATTTATTTATTTATTTATAGCTAAAATCGTAATTTCCATCTGTCAAGTTTTTTTTTTTCAACAAATTGTGTTTTTGTGATACGTTTCTGATACAAAAAACTCTACAGATCACATGAATCTTTACAAAGCTGAATGTCTTAGATGTTATCTCTTCAAAGATTCAGCAAATGTAAAATAAAATGTTCCGGTTCTAAGAAACCAAAGTGCAAAGGAAATAAGATGTAGAAGTCCAAGGTCAAATTCAAAAGGTAGAAAGAAATCTGGCTGCTTGGAAAGAAAATACTGAACAAACTGGTGGCTCAAGACTTTTGCACAATATTTAAAAAAGGAAGAAAAAAAGTGATAAATGTCTTTAAAAAGGTGCAATAAAGTGTGCAAATAGAATCAGATGATTTACAAAATTTTAGCTAGCTGTAATTTAATCTAGATTAAAAACGTTCAGTGAGTTACTCTGAACTGTAACCTGGTGATGAGTCCCACCTCATTAATGAAGCCTGAGAGATGTTTAAACTGTTCGGGTCCGTCCAGGATGCCGTGGACGATGATGACAGGTTTGTATCCATGCGCGGAGCCTGAAGCCAGCAGCAGCAGCAGCAGCAGCAGCACCGCCGGGGCCCCCCAGCTGGCCCGCGGAGCCCTCATCTCCACCCGGTCGCAGGTCGCTGGTGGAGGATCCGCGGCAGGAGGAGACCTGATCAGGAACTGTTTGCTTTTTCAGACGTTCCCTCCTTTTTGTGATGGTAGGCGTGCTTGCTTTGCAATATCCGTATTGCCAACCCCTGCCAGCCACGCTGCAACGCTTCAGCACTTCTGTAACATTGCGGTTTCCAACATGAAGCTTCTCGTACAAAACCAGAATCGGCAGCATGTTAACATTTTGTCGATTTAAATCTTAGAAATTAACTATTGAATTTAAGTGACGCCAAGTAAACTATGCAAATAAAATAATCTCAACTCGTTTCTTGCAGATAATGAAAACATACGACATTGTTAAAAAGCCACTGAAAAAAATAAAATAAAATATGTACTGTGACTATATGATGTATATTTGTTTGTTCTCTTCTCCAACAGGTAGCCTGAATGTGGCAATAAGATAAATCATGCAAAGCTAATATGGAAACGAGATTAATTTGTTTTCCAAATCTAGATCAGTCTTTCGATTTCTCAATATCCGAACTAAATGTTTTGTTTTGTTTTTTCTGTAGAAAAACACACGTTAGTGTCTTAATGCTAGTATGTATGTAGAGCTGACAGGGTCACTAATGCAGATAAGATGCACCAAATATAATTTACCGTTAATTGACTTTCAAAAATTATATGTATTTTTTTTCTCTCTTTTTGCCTCTCTTACTTTTTTATTATTGTTTATTGAATTAGTTCAGCTTAGGAGCTCCGAGGTTTAGAGTAATGCACTGTTAAAATAAATCATTTTAATATGAACAGGGTTCTGAACGTGTTGTCGTTCCTAATATGGCCACAGGGGGCAGTGAACGCTGCTGGTGACCCTAGCAGAGTAGAGTCACGTGTTTCCTGTTTCCCCTGTAGCGCGCCCCATGCTAAGCTAAGCTAACCAAATTAAATTTGTTGGGAGTTTTCTTTAAAATAAAGGTTCAGAAATAGTTTTTTTCCATGGCTGCAGGCGGCAGTTTGTATTTTTTAAGCGTTCAGACTCTGAACTCTTACCTGCAATAGAAAAAAATATTTTATTAGGGTTTTTTTTAAACTATTATAACGTTGTTGGATCGTTTTGAAATCGGTGAGTGAAGCTGCTTATGTTGTTTTGGTTCTTTTCACCTAAAAATAACAAATAGAATAAACTTAAATAAGAAAAATTGACCTGTTTAAACCTTCTAAGCTGTTCTGAGTAAAAGCGCAGAAAAACTAAAAGTTTCTAAAATGACTAGTTTCATTATTCTGAACCTGGTTCAAGATTGACAGTTGCTGTTTTCTAACGTTTTCCATAAACTGTATTTACTTCTGATAAAAAAAAACAACACAATAATAAGGAGCTTAACTTTGTCGGCTAAAAGTCAAAGATTTCATTAAAACTGTTATATCCTTGTCTCTCAATCCAAGTGAATTTAAACACGAAGCATCTGTTTCTCCCCAGAATCCTCCTCAATTTGGAATAATCTGAAAAAATTAATAATTTATTGCCGTTTTCCAGAAATGGAAAGTTTCACTGTGAAAACTTCTTCTTTGCTTATTTAGTACTTTTTTAAATTGCCTGACCTTTAGTTCAAAATTAACTCCTTTGATTATAGTTTTTTACAAACTGGTTTTATGAAAACTAAAACTTTGTAAATTTAAACCTGAAAAAATTTACAGTCAAATTTACAGACAAAACTGAAAAAGTTTAGAGTTTTGTCTGGAGAAAATATTTTGTAACTAGATTGTTTGTCTTGTTTTTTCATTGTAAGTTTCCTATTATTCTTTTTTTTGTTGTGTTTATTTCCTGGTTTTTCTTATTATTTTTGGTCGTATTATGCTGAAGGTTTCATATGTCGTTTCTGGAGCTGCTGTCTCTACTTCCTGACCAAACTAAACCGTTTCTGCTCCGCCTGTTTCTTCTCCAGGTGCGATGGCCCAGCTGGAGCAGTGGGTGAACGACCGTCTCCATGACATCCTCGGCTTGAGCGACAGATACGTCTCCCAGTTCATGATTGGCATCGCTCGCAAAGCGTCCAGCCCGGAGGACCTGGTGAGCCGCCTGGAGCAGACGGGAACAATCGACATCGACCAGAGCGTCTCTGCCTTCGCAAAGGAACTGTTTGAAAAAGTACCTGCTTCCTAAACCTTAATGGCTCCTCTATCGGGTTCAAGGTCTTTCGGTTGATGATGAAACTTGGACCACTAACGTTTCTCTGTGGTGTGGCAGATTCCCCGTCAGCAGGTTGTTGAGAAGCCGTCCAAAGCCCTGGAGCGCCAGGCCATAGAGATGGACCGGAAGAACCGGACCTACACGCTGCTGGAGGACAGCGACAGCGGCGAAGAGGTGGCGGCTGACAAACAGAGAGGCAAGAAGAAGAAAGACAAGGACAAAGGAAGCAAGAGGAAGAACATCAGACAAAAGAAAGCCAGCGAGTCGTCGAGCGACGATGAAAAGCTGAAGAGGTAAAGCTGGACGATGCGTCTGGAAAACCTATCTGGATATATTGCTTTCATATCAATCCATATTGTTAATTATTGATTAGTTTTTTGTTTTAAATATCTGAAATATTTCCAAACTGTGGCGTGACCTTTCCTGTTTTTACGATCACTCCACTTCAATGTTTTAATGATGGGCTGCTGCGCAAGTTACTCGACAGGTTGTTGCTAGGTAACCAAAGAGTGAGTGAGTTAGTTGATTCCCCCTTACCTAGCTTAGCGTGCTGTGAGAGGTTAAGCAGTTAAAGCCTTTCCTCTGCCTACATCTCCCAGAATGCTGTGCGGTTCTCGATCAGACTTCAGTGTTGAAGTTGCACAAAAACAGTTTTTACATTTTACTGAGTTCCAGCTGTGAACAGCCGGTTGGTTCTTGTCACTTCAGGGGCGGTTCTGTCTTGGAGGACCACAGATCTGTGAAGAAAGAAGAAGAAGAAGAAGAGGAGTGGGAGAAGGAGGAGAGGGAGCGACTGCTGGACATCGAGGAGAGAGACGCCTTCGCTCAGAGAGTCAGGCAGAAAGACAAAGAAAAGACGCGGAACATCGCTGAGCGGACGGATAAAAAGGTGGATTAAGCTTTTTTTAAAGAGGGAACAGCGCCTCCTACAGGTGGAAGCTTTATCTTCTGTTTCTTCTGTCTTTAGGCCTATGAAGAAGCTCAGAAACGACTGAAGATGGCTGAAGACGATCAGAGGAACATGGTTGGTTGAATCACATCGTCAGCTTAGGGTTTTTCTGGATTGTAGCCGGGTTGTAAAGTTTCTCTCTCTGCGTTCAGTTGCCGGAGCTGAGGAAGCGTTCCCGTTGGGAATATCTGAAGAAAAGAGAGGAGGAGAAGCTGGAGGACCTGGAGGCGGAGATCATAGACGAGGAGTATCTGTTCTCCAAGGAGGAGCTGACGGAGCGCGAGAGGCGGGAGCTGGAGTACAAGCGGACCCTCCGGGATCTGGCCAAGGACTACAAGCAGGCTGGGGCCAAGGAGCAGGAGGAGAGGAAGAACCGCTACTACATGCCTGAGGAGAGGAGGAGCAAGGTGAGCAGAGCGTCTGAAAACATGGCTTAGCAAACGGAGCCAGGCTCAGCCAGCATCTCCCGCCTGCAGGACGTCCCCCAGAGGGATCTGGAGCTGGACGAGGCCCCCATGGAGCTCGGGGGGGAGCAGGGCCGCTGGGAGGAGGAGCGGCTGAAGACGGCCTCCCTCAGCTTCGGAGCCAGGAAGGAGCGCGAGCTGGGCCTGAAGCTGGAGCAGGACCGGTACCAGCTGGTTCTGGAGGAGGAGGAGATGATCGACTTTGTCAGCACGGCCATCACCATGAAGGGGACGCGCTCCGACAAGGTCAGCCCCGTCTGCAGCACTCACAGGCTGACAGGAAAACATTTCCTAAAGCTTTAATGATCCAACAAGCTTCCAGAAACATCCAGGAGGGTTACAGTTAGAGGATTTACTGACCTTTGAACCCAAACCTGGAGAGGACAGGAAGGGGCTTCACAGCAGCCAACCCTCTGACCTGAACACATGAGACTGTGGTTCCTCAGACTGTCCACTAGAGGGCACCGCAGCTCAGTTTAAAATAACTTGGTTTCAAATATTTTATCACAACAAGCAAAATGCAACATCAATAATATTTATTTCTAATAATCATCCTTATGTGCAGGAACCAGGCGCTGCACTTTATAGGTCAGTCTTCACCAGCTTGCAGCAGTGCATTCTGGGATTTGTGGTTCCACAGAGTTTTATTTCACTCACTATGAGTCATTTAAAGCTGATTTGATTTATGCAGCGATTTATAACTTTATTTACTGCTAAATATGACTTAAAAATATAAATCTCTGATTCTTTTTATTCCACATCCAATTTCAAATTTTTATAATTTTTTTCATGCATTCTTTTCTGAATAAGGAATTACAAATATTACCAAATATTTTCGATCAGCCCTGCTGTGAGTTTTAGGGTCAGCTATGAGAATTTTTTTGTTAAGAGAACATAGTCATGATATTAGCAGAATATAGATGTAATTGTCTTAAAATTATGAGGAAAAAATTATTTTAATAAGAAAAATCTTGGAGAATTATTATTTATTTTTTGAGTTGGAGTTCTCATAAAATTACTCTAAATATTAGGTCTTTATTATCGTATTACTACAACTTTATTCTTGTACTGAAAAGAGAAAATCTTTGCCCGACCCTAATAGTCCTTTGTAGAGTAACTTGAATTCAAAGTCCAAATAAATAAAGCTGTAAAACAGGCTTGTAAATCAAGATGGCCGCCCTCGGCGTGCTGACATCACTCTGAGACACAAGGGGAGCGTCTGTGGAGAAAAATCCACATTTTCCAAAAAGAAAATCCTGAAAAACAAAAAATGTGATTAATTGATCAAATCAATTTCCCACCCAGCCCACCTCATAATCACAAATATCTTATATTACATTTTACTTTTTTCTGCATTATTGTGATGAATCGATTATTGGAATAATTGTCAACTGACTTACTGATTTAGTAATCAATTTATTGTTAACTGGAGTATACAGACTCTAAAACATACTGGCAGTAATGAAGCCAAAACTTTACAATAACTGTAAACATTTTGCATTAAAAATAAAAAACCTTCTATGTCTGTAAATCTCATCTAGTGTCAGATTTAGCTTCACCTGGTTCAGATTCAGTAGCAGCAGTCTGGTGTTAAAGCATTTCCATGGCGACGTGCTCCATGGTGACCATGGTAACATGCTCCATGGCGGTGTGTCCAGGACGAGGCGGAGCCGGCGCTGTCGCAGGCCGAGCTGAAGAAGCACTCCATGCAGGAGGTGCGCCGCAGCCTGCCCATCTTCCCCTACAGGGAGGACCTGCTGGCCGCCATCACTGAGCACCAGATCCTGGTCATAGAGGGGGAGACGGGCTCCGGGAAGACCACCCAGATCCCACAGTACCTGCTGGAGGACGTGAGTCTGCACTATCAATATCTAACTGATTGTCTTCCTTCATCAAATGCCAACATGAACACATTTTACTGCAGAGCTGAGATAAAAAAATACACAGATAAATATACTTTTGGGGGAATTCTTAATTGAAAAATAATGATAAAAACCTGCCTCTTCTGTTGCAGGGCTACACCAAAGGAGGGATGAAGATCGGCTGCACGCAGCCCCGCCGGGTGGCGGCCATGTCTGTGGCGGCTCGCGTTGCCGAGGAGATGAGCGTGAAGCTGGGTAACGAGGTGAGCCCGGAGGTTAGGACCTGCATCCAGGGTTCAAACCGTCCCTGTAACCTTTTATTTGGTGGTGTCGTGCAGGTGGGGTACAGCATCCGCTTCGAGGACTGCACGTCTGAACGCACCGTGCTGAAGTACATGACGGACGGGATGCTGCTCCGAGAGTTCCTGACTGAACCCGACCTGGCCAGCTACAGGTAGAGGAGACGATTACTTCAAAATAAAGTCCCAAAAATCCACATTCACCTCCAGATGGACATCAGAGCAACATTTTATATCATGTATTCACTTCTAGCTCCTGGACGGGGAGCCAAGTATATGAAAGTGTGATTTTAAGTCAGTTCTTTGGACCAAATGTGTCCATTTACGTCTCGTGGAGTGATTTATGTTTTAATCTTACTTTTTTATGTAGCTTAAGGTCAGTGTTGAACTGGGTTTCTAGCTTCAGGAAACAGTATTTTCCTTGAATTATCCATGTGGTTTGTTTCCCTTTAGGTGACGTTTACTGAAGGCAGACTCGGCTCATTAAAAGTGTCTGATTACAGCATTTAAAGAAACGGCAACACAAATCTGGTTCTTATCAGATTCAAGGTTTTTTTTCTGGACAAAAAAAACAGTCGACCCCAAAAATCTAGGAAACTATGGATAATAAGGAAAACATATATACTTTTGGTAGAGCTCCCATTACTAAAAATGCACAATAAATGAACTTTTTTAAAATAAAAAATAAGATCTGCTCTCTGTGGCCCTGGTTTATCGGTTTTGTTGGTCCGGTTCCCTCTGCAGTGTGATCATCATCGATGAGGCCCACGAGCGAACGCTCCACACCGACATCCTGTTCGGCCTCATCAAAGACATCGCTCGGTTCCGACCCGACCTGAAGGTTCTGGTGGCCAGCGCCACGCTGGACACGGAGCGATTTTCCTGCTTCTTCGACGACGCTCCGGTGTTCAGGATTCCTGGCAGGAGATTCCCTGTCGACATTTTCTACACTAAAGTAAGTCACCGGTTTATTTTTAGAAACAGATTTATTCTGAAAATCTAAAATTGAGTATTTTCTCCTTCCTGATTATTGGAAAACAGACTTTTTGAAATTCTTTAGCGGTTCTAGATTTCGCCCTCATAACAAAGTTAACCTGTTGGTTCAGAAATGTACTCAGTTCTACAATCAGTTTGTTGTTTTATTCTTTTTTCCTTCCTACTTCATTCTGAACGTTTCAGAAAGCTGCACTTTAATGTGTTTCTTCATCATTGTTTATATGCTTAGTTTATTTTTATTTTCCAATAATATTCAAAATAAACTAAATTAAACTTTGTCACTTGGCAGTTCAGTTCTTAATCTGAGCTAACAAAATCTCGTGGGGTTCCTCAAGACTCTGCTGTTTTAGTCTGGCTTAGATTATGGAATAATGTGACATCTATTACCATATTAATGCACATAACACAACTCTACTTCTATTTATCTGTTGTTTCAAGTGTTTTTCTGTATATAAAATGTTTTTTGTACCTGTGATCTCAGTGACGTCTTCTTGACCTTTTGCTCCTTTAATTGGATGTAAAACAGTTAACATGAAAAGCCTCTGTGGACTGACTGTCGTGGTGTGTGTGTGTGTGTGTGTGTGTGTGTGTGTGTGTGTAGGCTCCGGAGGCGGATTACCTGGATGCTTGTGTGGTTTCAGTGCTGCAGATTCACGTCACCCAGCCTCCTGGAGACATCCTGGTCTTCCTCACCGGACAGGTTCGCTTTCTGCCAAACATCAAGCAGCAGGAATTTTATCTGTAAAATATCCAGAAAACAAAACGATCTTTTTTTTCTGCTTCACAAAATGTGAAATGCTTCCAGTTGGTTCCAGAAGGTATGAATACTTTTCACTTCAGAAGATAATAGGAAAGTAAAATGACTCTGCTGTATGCAGCAGATTTATTGCTTATGGATCTGTTTTTATAGTTAGCATTGCGTTGGAAGCATTGATCAGTAGGTGGCGCTGTTGTGTGCGGCCATCTGAACCAGCATCAGCGTGACTGTCCACAGGAAGGTGTTGGTATTAGAAACGCACCTGTGCCACTCTAAACAGTGAGGAAAATATGAGCTGCTGTTTACGGTTGAAAACTTGTGAGCCTCTCTCCTTTCTGCTTACCGCTTTGTGTCGTGTGTCAACATGGATCCTCTCCTCATTCTGGGAGCTTATGTTATTGTTTTATAGTTTCTGTATTAATAAACTGCAGGTCAGAAACGGATTAACAATTCAAAGTTTGTTCCTTTTTCACTGATATTTCCATATTTTTAATTCGATTAAACGCTCAGGAAGTTTTTAAAGTATCTGTGATGGATCAAACTGCATCTCTGCTTCCTGCTGTAAGAGGAACCAACTCCTCCTGTGGGTTTTGCAGGAGGAGATCGAAGCGTGCTGCGAGATGCTGCAGGAGAGATGCAGGCGTCTGGGGTCAAAGATCGCTGAGCTGGTCGTCCTGCCCATCTACGCCAACCTGCCGTCCGACATGCAGGCCAAGATCTTCAGCCCGACTCCTCCTGGAGCCCGGAAGGTGAGTCCGTCTCCTCGGAACGCCGAGGCTTTCCACCCAGAAAGTCACAGAGTGTAAAGTTTCATCCCAGGAAACAGAAGAGCAATACCTCTTCCCAGACGAGTTGCTGTGAGCTGGAACAGCTCTGCAGTGAAGCTGTGGGTCAGAGCGCTAACCTCCACTTCCTGTCTGGTCTCTCCACTCCCAGGTGGTGGTGGCCACCAACATCGCAGAAACGTCTCTGACCATAGACGGCATCATCTACGTCATCGACCCCGGCTTCTGCAAACAGAAGAGCTACAACGCGCGCACGGGCATGGAGTCGCTCATTGTCACGCCTTGCTCCAGGGTACAGGAAGCTCTGCTCTTCTTAATGTTTAACCGGCTGCAGCTTTCCGTCAGAGGAGGGTTTACTGGAGAAGCTCTAACTGTTATGGTTTTATCTTTATGAGGAAGCTGCTCTGATGGAGATCAGGAGTGTTACAGACTCTTGTGAAGTTTCTATAAAACAAATTATAGAAATTTGTTGGATGTAACTGCAGCTGCAGCCGCCAAATACAAAACAGCTGTTTCTGCTCTGTCCTCACTGTTCCCCACAGTGTGCGCTAAACTCATGCTGAACGTTTATATTTATGGAGTTAAAGGCAGATATTTGCATACGCTGCATAAAACAAAGTCTTTTTGTCTCCAACATTAAATTCAATGAAACTGTTCCTGTTTGGGGATTTCACAGTTTCTGATGGATTAATCTGAGTTACCTGCAGGCTCAGCTGTGGATGTTTGTATTTTAAGGTGTGACAACATGAAACAATCTGAAGCCATCAGGCCGAGCGCCGTGTTCCTCCACAGGTCTGCTTCATGGTCAGCTCCTGTTTCCAGAAGCTGCAGAAAATCCTGCTGAAGCTTCTTCTATCCACAGCGAAACGGATCCGGTACCAACTGGGCTGGAAGAAACCACGGCTCCAAAAGCAACAGGAAATAAAAAATTATAAATAACCTCTGAGACAAAAACCTGAAGTCATTCTGATGATTGAGTGGTTGGGCTCAAAATGGCACACCACACATTTTTCTTTAGGCCATTTACAATGTTTGAAATGCATAAAAAACTGAAAATAAGCAAATATTCCGTTCATTTTTTTAAAGAAAATCAACATTTTATTGCCTGAAATGCGATAACAACATTCCATCAGTGAACGCTCCATCATTTGAGGCAAACGATGATCTGCAGCTGAAAAACATCAACATGTGAAAAGTGTTTGGTCATAATGAGCATCATTGTGTTTGGAGGAGAAGGAGGAAGCTCACAGTGAAGCACAGAGGTGGCAGCATCATGTTGTGGGTCTGTTTTACTGCAGCAGAGACTGGTGTGCTTAACAAAATCCTAAGCATCAGGAGGAATCAGACAGGAAGTTTGTCCACACACCTGCTGACACTTTCTGTGTGTCCTGATCTCTGTTCAAAAACGTTACCATAGAAACCAACATGGCAACTCCATGAAATGATGTTATTGATTCAGTTTTATGTTTATTTTCTGCTGTGGTTGGTTAATAATCATGTGTCTCCTGCTGTCAGGCTTCAGCCAATCAGAGAGCAGGGCGGGCGGGCAGAGTGGCTGCTGGGAAATGTTTCCGCCTCTACACAGCCTGGGCCTTCAAACACGAGATGGAGGAGACGACGATCCCTGAGATCCAGAGGACCAACCTGGGCAACGTGGTGCTGCTGCTCAAGAGTTTAGGTCAGTCTGAGGAGACGGCGGCCATGTTGGCCCGCCGCGGCCATGTTGGCCCACCGCAGCCCTCCCAGCTCACTGCTGTGTGTCTGTGCAGGAATCAACGACCTGATTCACTTTGACTTCATGGACCCGCCCCCCCATGAGACCCTGGTGCTGGCTCTGGAGCAGCTGTACGCGCTGGGAGCCCTCAACCACCTGGGGGAGCTCACCAAGGTTCAGTCCTTCACGTTTTATCTCAGCTCACTGCGTAGCGCTGCGTATGGCACCGTACCAGAAAAACCCACGTTACCACTTACTTCTAAACCTGCAATACAAAACTATTCTTAATACAACTGCGGCGTCGCCGTAGCGCCCCGAGCTGAGGTGTCGCCGTAGCGCCCCGAGCTGAGCGTCGCCGTAGCGCCCCGAGCTGAGCGTCGCCGTAGCGCCCCGAGCTGAGCGTTGCTGCATGTTTACCATGATCAGGTGTCAACATGCAGCTCATAATGATAAACAGTCCCTGAATGGGAGGAAGTGACACGTGATGCACTGATCAATGCTTTTCAGCTTTTATTGTCTTATTACTGACACCTGGAGGCCAAACAAAAGTCAAAGGTCAGGTTTTTTTTTTATTCCCAAGAGGAATCAGAACTTTATCACCTTACCTGTGCAATAATCATAAATAGTTAGAAGTATGTCTGCAGTGTTGTGGAAACACATTTATGATGAAGTGAATCAAGCGAAGGAGGCTCAGAGTAACTGCATTCTCAACCTGAAGGCATCAGATGTTGGTGATGCGTTCAGGTTCATCCGTTATCTCCACATTTAACAGAACCAGCTCCATCTGGATCTTGTGCATGTTTCTATACCTGGTGTTTGTCACGTGTTGCTGAGTCACTGACTTCCTCACATGGAGGAATGACTCGGCGTTTCCCGGCCGGCCGGCTGTCTTCGTTAATCACTGATGACTGAGGGAGTGTTTATCTGAACTGAAGCCGGTTGTTTTGGTTCTGCTCCAGCTGGGTCGCAGAATGGCCGAGTTACCAGTGGATCCCATGCTGAGTAAAATGATCCTGGCCTCAGAGCAGTGAGTGGCACAGCTTCACTTCTCACTATGAGGAAGAGTTAAATCAGACATGATCATGCTGATAAATCTCGTTTCCATGGTTTCCAGGTACAAGTGTTCAGAGGAAGTGCTGACCATCGCCGCCATGCTGTCGGTGAACAACTCCATCTTCTACCGGCCCAAAGACAAGGTGGTGCACGCCGACAACGCCAGGATGAACTTCGTGGTTCCGGGCGGAGACCACCTGGTGCTGCTCAACGTCTACACACAGGTGAGCGGTAACCCGGGCGACGCTGCTCGTTAAAAACGCGAGCTGCATCGATCCGCCATGTCCCACTGGAGCAGAATCCGCTCTGCAGACGAGCTCTGAGAAAAATCCAGATGTTCACTGCAAGATTCAAATCATTCATGAGCCTCAGGAACAAACAGGCCAGACTGGACACAGCCAGGACAGTTCTGAAGAACTGATAACATGACCTTACAGTTTATCACAGTATTTTGTGGTACTGTCATTATAACAATAACAGTGACTATTAATTTTTAGGTAGCTGTATGCAGCCAGAGCTCCATAAACATGAATTCTGTTCTTCTAAACGATCCTTTTTCTCTGAATTAAAGCTGTTTGGTTTCAAGTCTCAGAGGATCTCAGTCCAGACGTGTGGTCCGGACAGCTGTTGGTTCTGCTGGTTCTGTTGGTTCTGCTGGTTCTGTTGGTTCTGCTGGTTCTGTCTCTAAGCTGTGTCCCGCTCTGCTTCGTCCCCAGTGGGTGGAGAGCGGCTTCTCCACCCAGTGGTGCTACGAGAACTTCATCCAGTTCCGCTCCATGAGGCGAGCCCGGGACGTCCGGGACCAGCTGGAGGGTCTGATGGAGCGCATCGAGGTGGAGGTGGTCAGCTGCAGCGGGGACAACGTCCCCATCCGTAAGGTCAGTCCTGCTCACAGAGCGGTCGTCCTTCCACAGCGTTTCCCTGCCGTCTGAAATGAGGAACAAAACGTGTCCTGCTCTGTTTTCTCGCTGACGTCTCCTCCAGATAAAATCTGCAAAACAAAAGGTTCACTTTCCTAAAAATCCTCTCGGGTTTCCTGGGTTCTTTCACAAAGACTCAACAGGGAAACTGTTCATGGAGCGCCGGTCCGATCTCTGAGCAGCAGTTGGAATCTACAGTTTTCTATCTTAGCTCTTCACAGAGCTTCATCAGTCATTCTCTCCATCATGAACATAAACAGTGTTTAATAAATGATTTCTGTGAGTCAATGTGTGAATTTGAGCCTCTGACGTTTTCGGCCCAAATGAAAACCTTCCTGTTCAGGTCTGTTTTCTGTTGCTTCAGCAGATGAATAAACTCCTTCACGCCTTTTCTAATCCTGATCCCTGGAAGCTGCTCAGGCCTCCTGGAACCGAAGGTGTCGGGTTCATTCACAGAACAAAACTGCGACTTCAGGAGGCGAATCTCAGAGAGAACCAGAAGAGCTGAGCTGCTAGCAAACAGAGGAACCGACACCTCAGCTTATCTGAGGCGGTGCCGGGTGTGTTGGACCGGCGGGCCCAACCTCAACCACAGCAGGGATGGACGGAGTGTTTCTGTCCGTCTCGTCACAGCTCAACAATCACTGAAACACTTTGCAGCTTTTCCTTTCTTAGATTTCTGAATTCAGAAAATACCAACAGATTCAGACTCTGGAGACTTCAGAGAGGCGTCAGCGTTCACATTTTATTTATTAGGATGTTTTACTAACAGCTGCAGCCTGCAGTAAGGTGGGGCAGGTTGCCACAGTGTCAGTAAAACTTAGAATATTCTTCTGCTTTTATGATTGAATTTAAAGTATAAAAGGAACAACAGACTGGATGTGGCTCACACAGATAATATAACACGGCTAAAAGCAGCAGCTGCCCTGTCGCCAGGACAACAGATGGCAGGATAAAGACTCGTCAGACGGGACTCGGACGCTGTTTGCATACTTTTGCATGAAACAGTGACTCAGGAAAAGAGCTGTAAAATCCCTGCTTTGAACGGGATACTTTTATTAACTTTAGAGAGGGGTCAAAGTTCAGATTTAAGCAGGAAATAAGTTCCCAGAACTTTGGACCAGATTTTCCGGCACCGTCGTTTCCTGAAAAAGTTGCTGAATAAAAAGCAAATGTCGGATCTGTTTGTTTGACGGGATGATTTAAATATTTGTGCTTGTTGTTTATTTCATTCTGCAGTGAGAATTAAACCTGATGGACCCGTTTTTAACTTGGCTGCTGTTTCTGTTTGTGTCCTGTGGAAAGCAGCAGCACAAACTGAACCTCTAAATGTCTCTCTCATATTGAATGTCATCCTCTGTGTCCCTGCCTGATGACCTTTGACCCTGATGGCCCCTGTGTCCCCGGCAGGCGGTGACGGCTGGGTACTTCTACCACACGGCGCGGCTCAGTAAGGGCGGCTACCGGACGGTGAAGCACCAGCAGACGGTGTTCGTCCATCCCAACAGCTCGCTGTTCGAGGAGCAGCCGCGCTGGCTCATCTACCACGAACTCGTCTTCACCACCAAGGAGTTCATGAGACAGGTGACGGCAGCTCTGCTGCATGTTTGGAATGTAAACAACACACCCTGCAGCCAGCGGGCAGGAAGGCAGGAAGCTTAATGCCTCCTAGGCCTGACACCATAACAAATTGTTTCAGAAAGTATTGCTATAAACGATAATATTGTTTGAAGACCATTTTAAACTGATTTAATGGTAATAACATGATAATGCAAGCAATATCCTGCCAAAAATAGATGCACTTTATTTTCAAAACAACATTTAAAACTGGAACTGGTTAACAGAACAACCAAAAATAAAATGGACTCTCAGCCTCCATTAACAAAAAACTCAACGACATAAAACCAAAATGGGAATAAATGCTACATTCAACCATGAGAGTGCAGATTATGAAGTCTGTATACTGTCCTGCCCTCCAATAATCATTAGATTTAGATGGAGGGGATGAGCATATCACTCCAGTCCAAACAACACAATGGGTTTTTTGCCCTGATTTTCCCCATATGACAACCACACTACAGTGTGTGGTGTGTTAGGACGGATCGGGTCCAGAACGTCGGGACCGCTCCAATCTAAATCGGGCATATTCAACATGTTGGATTGTCTTGGCCAGTTTATCGCTGCAGCCTGTGGGGTTTTCCCCGACTGGGAGCGAGAAGGCAGCCTGTTGAATGTGACCCGTACCCAGTCAGAAAGCACAGATTCCCCTTCGTGTTTTCTGAGGGCGAAGCAGGAGGGGAATCCCTAACAGCTGGCACGGCGCAACCCAAAGTCAAGCGGACGTCGGAGGTGATATGTGGAAACAACATTAATGTTTATTCAACATTTCATGCAGAGAACGTCTGCAGAAATGACAAGGACAGCAGTTAGAGCTTAATTGCTTCTGCAGTATTACCCAACGCCTTTTCTTTTAGTTACATATTTAATCGATTAAAATAAGATCACAAACTATCGCTGTTGCATCTACATCAGCAGCCGTGTCTGTTTACTCTAAATTCACAGCTGATATAGAGGATTTTGATGGGATTTTCTGTCTGAAATCTGAATATCGGTGAGAGAAATCGGTTCTTGTGTTTGACGTTGCTCTTGCCGTGTGGCTGGACCCCACACGGCCCGATCGAACCCAACACCTACGATCTTAGGTAGGTGTTAATCAGTTAATGTGGGATGTCAGGTTTTGAAAATGGGCCGGCGATTCTAAAATCGTGTAGTGTGAGCTGGACATTACACTGAGGAAACGAGGAAGGGAGGGTCAGTGCAGAGCACCGAGTTGAGCCTTTTTCCATTCAGTGCCATCAAGAGAAAGAGAAAAAGGCAGGAAGAAACGATAAAGCCGATAAATTAAAATGAGGTCAATAACTTTCATTTATTGTGCAATTAATTGATTTATTGTTTATTGCGACAGGCCTACTCACACACATCAGTGAAATCAGATTCATCAGCTCTGTAATCTGTTCAGTCGGCCTCCATCTTCAGTTCTCCAGGCTCCCTGAAGGTCTTTATTTCACTCACGTTCCTGTAATCTGACCTTTGAGTCACTCAGCGATAAAAACGCTCCTGAACTCCAGAGATGTGTTGATAACTGACAGTTTCAACTTGAACCTTTGAGCTGGCTGTTGCCTGCAGCTCACAGCAGCGATTCTTTACCTGAATGTGAGAAAAACAAACATGACGGACAGGATTCAACAAACCGATCCCATTTCCTCCATCCTCCATTCATTAAGAATGACTATAAATATCCACTGAATGAAACGTTGTTTCTTTCCTGCTTAGCTTCCCAGCTCCTCCCATGGAGGAAATGAAAACATTAAAACTGCGTCAAAAGCTCAAAACATTACTTTAATAACTTCATTTAAAAGGCTTTTATACAGACATGTATGTAATGACTGCTGTTCAGAGAGCGCTGCAGACACGCAGGGAAAATTGTGTGGAAGGTAAAACTTTTACTTATGTTTTTAACATAAATATGAATGTTAAACAACCCTCTCTGGGGCTTTTTAATATTCAGATCCATTTTGATTCTGCCTGTTTGACCCACCAGAAGGTTCTGGTTGCAAACAGAACCCAGCGGTGTGGCTCAGATCAGAATCGGGTTGGTTTGGATCAGAACCCAGCGGTTCGGTTCTGATCCAGCTCCTTGCTGTGCCAACAGGTGATAGAGATCGACAGCGGCTGGCTGCTGGAGGTGGCGCCTCACTACTACAAGAGCAAAGAGCTGGAGGACAGCAGCAGCAAGAAGATGCCCCGGAAGCAGGGCAAGGCCCGGGAGGAGCTGGGCTGAGGCCCCTGGGGGCCCGGGAGGAGCTGGGCTGAGGCCCCTGGGGGCCCGGGAGGAGCTGGGCTGACGCTCACACATCTGGACTATCTGAGCTGTAAAGCTGCTGAGCCTGTCATGGAGGAAGAACCGGGCCAGGCTTATGGACGGGTTTAATGATAAACCAGACGGACAGTCGGTGCTTTTTCCTGCTGCACCTGAACGCCCCTCAGACTCATTAACGGACCTGAATGCATACAGAACTGGGTTGTGCAGAAGTAGGTTACGGTTTATCTGAGCTCATAAAGTTTATGGTGATTTGTTTTCCTCTGATGTTTTCAGACGTAAACAGGTTAAAGGTTCTGGTCAAACACACCCAGCTCTGGGTTCTGTGTCAACACTTGACCCAAAACACTGTGCAGAATTAAAGAGAGTGATGTTTGACAACGGCTCTGAGTGTGTGTTGGTCATGTGGAGGCGCTGAGGCAGTTCTGCTCTGGTTCTGCTCCGGTTCTGAGGTATGACGGGTATGCGCTGCAGCTCTGCTGGAACTCTCTTTCAGCTCTGGCGCCTCGTATCGGATCAGGTGAGTCTCATCACATTTATTCTGCAGGAAGGAGAACCGAGCGTTTTCTGGCCGAACGTCCTGGTTGAGCTGCAGCTGGTCGGACCGGTCTGACCAGAACACGGCGAGGGAGGGAGGGCGGGCGAGCGACAGGCAGAGAGAGACCAGGGTGTGAAGAAGACGATAAGAGCCCAGGTTTGTCAGTTCGGGTCAGAACCGCTGGGCTTTCTTTACTCAGTGATGAAGTTTTTTGATCCCAGTTGTCGCAGCAGGATTACCTGAGCGCCCGGAGCAGATTGGAGCACCGGATCGGACCTTTTCCGACTTATCAGGTCAGAATAACCAACCTGCACACCACACTGCAACACTGCTGAGGATTTCTGCCTAATTTCTTCTGCAAACAAACAGAACCAACTGACACGTAACTTCACACACATATGAGCTTAAGTCAATAATTCCTCAATATTCATAAAAACACGGTTCAAACGCTTCGCAGGAAAACATTTTTAAAAGTTTTAAACTTTTCACCTTAGATATAAAAATAATCCAAGTGAAATAAAGCAGTTTCCATTCAGTGCTTTGATATTTTTATTACTGTTATTAATAATATGATGGGACTCTACAGCAGGGAGCAGACAAACTGAAATAGAACAACATTTTGTTCTGAAATGCCTCCAACACACCCTTACACACCTCGCTGTTACAAAACCAGCTCTAAAAATGTTCTCAAGTTTTCTGGCTTTCAGAAAATAGAAATAGTCTTTATAATTCTAACTAAGACAACAATTTAATCTGATTTAAGTACAGACACAATTTATTTTTATTTTAAAATAAACCATAAAACTGTAAACAAATGTTACATTTAACTTTATTACAGAACGGTTCAGTTTGAAGCTGTTTCGACTTTCAAACATCTGAATGAAATTCAAGGATTTCAGCGCCTGGACAAACCCTGTGAACCGTTTTGATCCCCTGGCAGTTGTTTCACTGATAAGACTTGTTTTCCATAAAAGAAACTAATCTACCAGTGGAAACAGGACTTTATTGTGAATATTAGGGAATTATTGACAAATAAAATAGTTCCCTTTTAATTAGTTCTGTCTCATGTCATGTGCGTTAGGAACCAGACAGAAATACTTCGTAATATTTTGTGTTATATGACTTCCTGTTTTCATGTTGGAAACAGAGTTTGATCTGCTGGTGGAACGTCCTCTAACCGAACCAGCAGGTCCCTGAGAAAGTTTAGTGAAAGGAAAACAAAAGGCCTTCATTAGTCACCTGTGTGCTTCGTCACCATGAGCCGGCGCTGCAGCATTCCCTAACTCAGCGTTCTGTCCTCCACAGCTGATTGGTGAAGGAGAGCCATCATGAGCAGACGGGACCAGGGGCCCCGAGACGAGGGGCTCCGGGGGCCCAGGATGCCCCAGAACGTCAAGCCTAAACCGGGCCAGCCGGCTCCCACCCAGAAGGACCGGCCCCAGAAGGCGCGGCGCTCCCGCAGCAGTGACTCGGAGCGAGGGAGGAGGCGGGAGCATCACCACGGTGACCGGCGCCGGCGGGGCCGCAGCGAGGAGACCCAGCGGCGGGACGGGAAGGGCACGGAGCGGCGGGACACGCCCCCCGTGGACATGCTGGGCGACACGGAGTGCGCCGTGTGCTTCTGTTCCTATGACAACGTCTTCAAGACGCCCAAGCTGCTGGCCTGCGGTCACACCTTCTGCCTGGAGTGCCTGGCACGCATCAACGTCACGTCGCCAGAGATCAAGACGCTGTCGTGCCCCGTGTGCCGCGTCCTGACCGAGCTGCCCCACGGCCGCGACCTGCCCCGCCTGGGCAACAACCAGGACATCATCGGCCGCCTGCCGGCCGACATGCGCCGCGCGCTGTCCGTCCGCTTCCAGCGCAGCAAGGGCCGGCTGCTGCTGAAGCACCCGCTCCCCGCCGCCAAGCCCGCCGCCATCAACCTGCCCGTCAAGAAGCACCATGCCCCGCCGGCGGCCGCCCAGGGCGCCGACTTGGCCGCTGCAGAGGAGGGCAGCGCCCCGCCCACCATGGTGGACGTGGGCAGACCACCAAGCAGGATGAGGGGCCGCATGCGGCGCCTGTTCCACTCCGACCGCTGCTACTACGCCGTGGTGGCGTCCATCATCACCATCACCGTGGCGCTGATGATGGTGGGCATCCTAGCCTTCGTCATCATCCCCAGAGTTCCCATACTCAGCAGACCCAGCGGGAACTTTACCGGCTCCTCCTCACATGAGAGCAGCGAGAACTTTGAACCGGACTCACCCTGAGGGGGCGGGGCCTGAGGGGTGCGCTGAGGTTTTACTCCGGGTGTGAAACGGTGAAGGAATGAGGAAGAACAAGATGGAGGCTTTTTTCCCGGCTAAGCATGAAGAACTTTGACCCCTAAGGGGTCAGGAAGGACCACTCTGAGATTCTACTACAGGTTTGAAGCGGTGAAGGAATGAGGAAGAGCAAGATGGCGGCGTTTCTCCAGGCTGAATGTGAAGGATATGGGGTTCCATCTGTGACAATACATTGAAAAATTAACAGCAATAATTTATTATTTAACCATCACAAGAGAAAATATGGAAATGAATCTTTCAGTCATCTTTTCACCTTGTTGTTCAGGCTCATTGTTTAGTTAGCAAATTAAATATTTAACTTCAAACTAAAAATGTTGTTCCAAGCTAAATATTTAATTAGAAAGCTAAATAATTAGCTAATTAAATATCTACTTTGAAACTGTGACATTTATAAATGAATGAATGTAAAACTGTAACATTTTCTCTTATGAAAATGGATAATTACTGGTTGGTTTTTGACTGCGTCTCTCAGCGACTTTCCACTGACAGAACCTGAATGTGAAACAGAATCAGGAGGAGAATCGACTCCAGAACATGCGAAGCACTTAAACCTCCTTATTTATACCCGGAACTCTAAACAGAAATCATGTACAGATATTGACAGGCATCAGATTCAATAAAACTGCTTCTATTCAAACGTTTCCAGGAGAATCTGAGTTATTTTATCTGTCACTTCCCAGAACCATGACACCGGACACCATCTAGTGGTGAAAGCACACCAGCTGAGACGGGTCCAGGTGGACCAGCTGGTTCCACCACATGCCGACCCGCTGCTTGATGCCGGGTCCATAACTCAGGGCAACAGAGAGCATGCAGGAATGTCAGGAAACATCCGGGCATCCAAATCAGATCCCACATTACAGGAACAACACCCGAAATAAACAGAAGTCCTTTTAATTTCAGCTACCTTCAGGTCTGGACTTTGACTAGACCATTGCAACATCTAGATTTGTTTCTTTTTCTGCCGCTCTGTTGCAGATTGTGAGTGTAGCTCTGAAAATCAGCTGCTGTCCATTTTTGCTCTGGTGGAAAAAAAATAATCAGAAAATTTTAAACCTAAAGGAAGGGATATTTTATTATTTTAGTTAATTTAGTAGTTTGGGTTAAACCAGGGGTCTGCACTCTGGCTAAACAAATTGTCAACTAAAACACAAAAAGTCCATTAAATTTCCACAACAGTATTGTTTGTTTAAATCTATTTTTTTTATATAATTCTTTGGATCTTTAAGCTTTGTAGCATTTCTACGATCAACATCCTACTGAAGAAATTGTATCAAAAGTTATTTTTGCAAACTGATTTAAACCTAAAACTAAAAAATCTAAATAAAATCATTTGAGTTTGCGACTTTAATGTGATAAAATGTTTAAGTGTGAATATTTTCCTGTAGATTTTAGGAAACCTCACACTGGACCTTTAGCAGCTCAGGTTCTGGACCTCTCCACGTTTTGATTCCCAACTAAAATGCAACCTTTAGTTTTGTGAGTTAGGACTGGTTCTGCTTGTGTCTCGGGTTCCTTCAGGTTCCATCACATGGACGGTGATGGTTGTTCTGGACCCGTCTGTGTCTGGTGGTTCTGGCGGCTCTGACACCAGCTGGAGTGCTCTACTGCAGTTTGTCCTTCCACTAACCTTTCTATTATGGAGCTTTGACAGTATTTCCTAGTTGCTGATGAGCCTTGTGGCCGTAACAACAGGTCTGGATTTTGCTCAGTCTTTCAGCTGCTGTGTTTCTGTCAGATATGAACTTTCTGAATGATAATTTCTCAGATTCTAGCTGAATATCCTGACTTGTGTAATCAGTGTTGTTGCTGTTCATGTGTTTCTCTGCTCTGGAAGCTAAATTAAGACCTTTGACCCAGTTTTATTTGGTGCTGAGTCTCATGACAGCTCCTTGAAGACACACCCTTGTGGGACAGGAACATGGCCCGGACCCCCCGGCCCTCCGCTGCTCCCCTCCTGTAGCCTCTCCAAGCCTCATTATGTGATTCTCTGCTCGGCTGCGGACCTCCAGGACGAACCGACTCCTTCTCTCCATGGCTTCCACCCCCTCCGCCTCGGCCCTGTCTGCCGTGCTCCGCTGCAGGGGGAACATCTGGACCCGGAACCCGCCGACCAAGCGGCCTGCCTCAGCGGCATACAGCCTCGGACTGGCCGGAGGGACGCTGCGCGACTCCCCGGCGCAGCGCGGCGGATCATCCCGCTGGTCCGAGTGGAGGATTCTCCGCCGAGGAGAGCGCCTGGTGTCGGCCGCAGGGCTCTCTGTCTGCTGCAGGCGGGATAGTAGCGACAGTGAAGCTCCGGCAGAAGAAGTTTTTAAGAAAAATCATAAATTATCTTCTTCCAAACTTTCCCAATCCTCGGCTTGTGGCGCCTCCAGCGACCAAAAGGCGCCACTGCAGCAGAGAGGAGACGTCTTCTCCAAAATAATCCACATCATTATCCCTGAAGCATCAGAGAGGATATGCTTCCAGGGCTTCATTCAGCTTCCAGCCAGAGCCCTGAAGCTCTCCGTCTGCATCAGCTCTGGGTTGAAGGTGCAAAACCCCGGTTCTTCCCTCCCCTCCTGGGTGTCCTGGTTCATTTTCTCAAAACGACAGATGAAGAGCGTCAGCACTGACCCAACACAGGTGAGCTTTTCTAAATGAAACGGAAACATTTCTGCAGTGCAGTGTGTGTGAAATCATACTGTTTTTCCTCTTTCAGGAAAACATGTGCAGTTCTGGCCGACCGACGACCCATGACCCACCTGACTGAGCTCCAAGCAGCCAGACTCCAGCCCCTCATTGATCTGCTTACATTTACTCACAGGTTTGGACTTCAGCCTGCTGGCGCCATCAGGACACGCGTCGCTTTAGCTCCCGCTGAGTCAGGAAACAGCAAACCGACGGAAAGCACAATCTAGTAAAACAATCTGATGAAATTCAAACAGTGTTGTTATTTTTTCCTGCACAAAAAATCTGTTCAACACATAAAGACATTTACCACACATGAAACGGCTTTCATGTCATTTCCATTGGCCATTATTAAAAATGGTGTTTCAACTTCTGAAAATAAAATCTGTTGCATTGTTTCAAGTTTTCAGACAAGAAATATAAAAACATGTACGCATTCATTCATCCCTTTCTTACCTGCTGCTTACTCTGGTCAGGGTCAGAGGTCAGTCAGTTTATTAGTCTACTGCAGGGTCAACAAAGAGCCAGTTATGTATGCACACACCCAGTAAGGTCAAAGGCCAAGTTCTGATGGAGGGCAGAGCCGTCAGGAACCAAAAGGGAAAACACTACAGATTATCCAGACCAGGACTCTGGGAGCCAGGAGGTCCAGATGTTTCCACCTTGCACTCAACCTCCAGTGATCCATATGAACACATGAACATGGCTTCCTGTTGGTGTTACCAGGAAAAAGCAAAGTTCAGCTGCCAACCTGGACCACATATTCACTGGATGGATGTGGAAAAGAGTTTCAAAATGACCTGATTCTGTCTTTGAATGACTTTTATTATTTTAGTAAATCTAAAAATTTTCTGCAGTTAAATTATCCTTTTTTTCTTTACAGTGTTTGAAAAACAGGTTGGTCTATATTTACTTTCTCCCTCTGAGCAGAAAGAGTTTGAAATGTAATCAGCCTTTCAGGAAACCAAAGCTTGAGTTTCACATCCAGTTGACTGTGAAATAAAACATTTTTTTTTTACCAACAGCTGCAGTTTTGTTCTGTTGTCGGTTTTTCGGTAGAAGTTTTTTGCATTGCAAAACCCTCCATGCTTCCTGTCTCAGCAAAACACAGAGAACCGCAAGAGTCTCATTAGCAACCAGGATCTGCTGATGAGACCAAAACCAACTTTAATTAGTTCTTCAGAAAACTGAGCGAAGCCAACTCAAGACTGAGATAAATATTTATCTTCTTCTGGATAAAGATTTCTGTTTTGATAAGCAAACATCTTTAGATTTTATGTGAAAATTGCAGAATGATGTCAGATTATTGCACAAAACTTAATATTTTTTTTATTTTTTTGCTTTTGCTTGAACTTCTCTATTAAAGTCAAAGTGAAAAAATGACTGAAACAAACTTTTTGAAATGTTTTCCCACCTAAAAGCTGGAATGCAGAAAGTTTCTACATATCCTAATGAATCCTGGTTTGGATTCATTAGTTTGGTTTGAATCCAGCTGAGATTTCTCAGCTGGATTCCGACCCGCTGCTTGATGCCGGGTCCGTAACCCAGGGCAACAGAGAGCATGCAGGAATGTCAGGAAACATCCGGGCAACCGGATGACGGATTAACTCTGCCGTCTGCAGCTAGCCCAACAAAAACTTTAATGGTAATAAAATTTAAGTGGTAGATATCGGTTATCAGCTACCTCAGCAGTATTAATATTGGATATTGACATCGGCACAGATTGTAATATCGTTACATCCCTAATGAGAAGCTTCCCCACAGCATGACTCCTCAGCTGCCGTACTTTCAGTGTACCGTCGCCTGAGAAACCACCTGATGGCCGTAGATCTAAAAACATCTGTCTGTCTGTCAGCAGTCCATAAATGTTGCTCCATGGGTCACTGAGAGTGTTCTTTGGTGACCTTTGACCTCTTCTGCAGGTTAAATTTTTGCTGTTTCACCTGCTCTTCCTTCCATCTGAAGGGTCGTTCTCCTTTTTCAACCATGACTTTCTGGATTTTGTTTTCATTTTTAAGCTTCAGAGCATTTTAGTTGACAAGCATCATTTCCTGTTTAGATGAAGTATGCAGTTCATTCAACAGATTTCTAGAATTTTCTATTTATCTCATATTTTCAGAGGAATAAATCATGACCAGCATGTCTGGTGCTCTCTTCCTCTAATAACCACAATAACTGCAGCAAATGACTTTCCATGTAGAAGTATCATGATGTTGGGCTGCTATGATTATGAACACAGACGTACAAATGCTTTGGATCCATCTGGATAAAATGAACAACAGATGGAGGGAGGAAGGTCTGAGTTTTCCCTCTGTGACTCAGTCTTGGACAAACAAAGAAACAAACAACAAAGAACTGACTGACTGATTTACAGATTTATGAAAAACTGAGGAATGTATGGTTAGATGGGCGGATGGATCATTATTTATGGTTTTTAACCTTTATTATAGGAAAAACTCACTGGATGACACATTAGACTCAAACACAAACAGCACTTTCATTAAAATCACATTAGGACAAATATTTACATTCAGATGTTTCAGCCTCCAAATGACTGCAGCTTGTTGAAAATATTTGAAGAAAATATTCAGAATTTTTTACCTTCTTGTAAACATTGAAAATGATACTTAGAGCCATACGTGTCACAATTTAATAAGTCATCAAATAAAAATATATGCATTAAAAATATAAAACTAAATACTGAATCAGTTACATTTATTAGTTAATATATAACGTTATATATTAACTAATAATCCATCAGCACTCTGTAGCTGATGGATTTCTGAGTGGAGGGATTGCTGTTTGGGTTCTTCAAATTTGTGAATTTCTGGATGTTTTCTTGTTTTATACTCTGATGTGTTTATGAAATCAGTTCTTCTTTAGTCAGCAGAACTTCTAAGGGTGGAAAACTGAAACCTGTTGCCCTTCATTCCTTCTCCAGATAACAGTCTTCCGAGTTTAGAGAAAAGAAAAGGCAGAAGACTGAAACCTGAGCAGTAAACTGGAGCTGCTGCGAGCAGACATGGACTCGAACAGGAAGCTGCGGATTGGCTGGCAGGAAGATAAAAACTACCTCTCCTACGTTTGCATTTCTTTCTTTAGCAGATAAAAACAGAAAAACGAGCCTCATTAATCTAACTTCTCTGAGTCTGAACTTTGTGTTCAGCTCGTCAGCCACCAGCAGCTGGTTTTCATTACTTTTAATTCCTTCCTTCCTCAAACTGTTGCATAACTCCTCAAGGTGACGGTTAGGGCGGGACTTCCGCCCGAGCACTCAAACAGGGAAGTCGTCGTGTTACTTTCCTTCAGCGTCACGGTCGGTCCTGCTCCGTGGGAAAAAACACGCTAACTCGGCGGCTGTAAGTTGCTCCAGCGGGAGGAAATCCGACGGGGGCGAGGTCCGCGCCACCTCCCGCCGCCGCGGGGTTCACCTGAGCCCGGCTGTCAACGGGGGAATGAGCCGGCAGGAGGCGGAGGGCGCTCCGGCAGGGTGAGAGCTTCTGGTGGGGGATCCGCGGCAGGCTGGCTGGGTGGCTGGGTGGGAGTGGGTCTCAATACCTGTGGAGCTTCAACAGGGTGGAAGCTACTGGTGGGCGACCCACAGAAGGCTGGAGGCGAGGATGAGTTTTAGTGTCTGTGGATATGTGGAGAGGATCCACGGCAGGCGGTGTGGGTCTGAGTGACTGTCTGTGGATCTGCAGCATTTATCACATATTAAACATGTTTAAGCTTCAACCCTTGTTAAGGCGATTTTTTATTTTTACCCAGTGAGCTTCGCGGATGTTTTACTGATTAATTGCACGTTGCGTTTCCGCCCCTTTAAGAGCAGCTTTTTGTTTGCTGTTGCAGGTTTTGCTCTGGTGATAAAGTAAACACTCCCATGTTCTCATTAATTATCTACTTTAATGCTGAGCAAATATCAGCAGATTGTTTCTGGAGGGTAGAAACAACAAAACAAGGAGTGGACTAGTCAAAGTTTCCAGGTTTCATTTCTTTCTTAATGTCAGGATTTGGCTCTAAAGTTTACTTTGAAAACCAAAATAAGCTCAAAGTTTTTATTTTTATTTTTCAAGCAGAATATTCTTTGTTTTTTTTTAGCTAAAAAAAGAAAAACAACCTTCACCTTCTGCTGGAACAACTGACCTTTGACCTGGACGGTTGTCATCAAAGGTTGTTAAATTTAATTCATTTTCGGTGATTTTTGAGTCACAACTTTTTACCGTTTCCTTTAACCTAAACCTTTAGTCATAAATTATATATATATATATATATATATATATAATTTTATAAGCAAATAACTTCTGTCGTCAATGAACCCATAATCTGGGTCACGGTTTTTTCTGGGTTAGAAGCTGAAGTATTTGGGAAACGCTGAGTTAGAGTTTAAGGAGCTCCAGGAGAGTGTGTGAGTGTGTGTGTCTTCAGTGTGTGTGTGTGTCTTCAGTGTGTGTGTGTGCTGTTTGCTTCCAGGTGATAAGGGAAAATCAACGTGGCGCAGCTGTCCGGATCTGTCCTGCGATGCGCTGCATTTGCATGCCTTCCTGCTCGGTTAGCCTCTGGTTTCCATGTTTCTGTTCTTGTTGTTTCAGGTGAAACGGGAACCAAAAAACCAGGGATAATTACTCCAGGATGGTTGGGCTGTAATCCTGAAAACATGCTGGATTTCTTCCCCCTGGCGCCGCCAGCTGCACCCTGAGCCGGACACATCTGGGAACATGACTCTGTGATGAAACGGGACGAAGACGGACCCTCCCAGATCCCGTTCCTTTTGTCTGCAACCAGGACACTGCCTACTCGGAGCCAAGCTCTTCCCAGATCCCGGAGCCATGTTCCGGAAAAGAAGCTCTCTCATTCTATGTGGGACGTTCCTGTTTGTCACCTGGAACGCCGTGCTGGTGCTGCTGCTCTGGGGCAGAACGTCCCCGGGCCAGCCGGGTGCCGGGCAGCTGGATCCGGCCTCCATGCCCACCGATGACGTGGTGGGAGACGTGATCCGCGTCGCAGATTCCTTCGAATTGGAGCTGGAAAAGCAGAAGGAGATCCTGTCCCAGATCCTGAGCCACCGGTCGCTGTGGAAGCCGGCCAAAAGAAAGAGGGTGAAGGTCAACGTTCCCAGTCCGCCGGTCATTCCCATCCTGGTGATCGCCTGTAACCGGGTCACAGTGAGGCGCTGCCTGGACAAGCTGCTGGAGCTGCGGCCCTCCGCCGAGCTCCATCCCATCATAGTGAGCCAGGACTGCGGGCACACCGCCACTGCCGATGTCATCGCCTCCTACGGGGACAAACTCACTCACCTGAAGCAGCCGGACCTGTCCGACATTCCCGTACGGCCCGAGCACAAGAAGTTCCAGGGTTACTATAAGATCTCCAGACACTACCGCTGGGCTCTGAACCAGGTCTTCCGGACCCTTTCTCACTCCTCCGTGGTGATCGTGGAGGACGACCTGGAGGTACCGACGTTCCCCGATACAGACACAAACATTTAACCAACTTATGATCGTCGGTTTATTCAATTAAAATTAGTTCTAATTGATTAACTAATAACATCTGGTTGGGCCAGTGTCCTGCAGCTTTTAGATGTCTCTGCTTCAGCACACCTGGCTCCAGGATCAGCTCGTTAGCAGAGCTTCAGCACTGAGTACAGGCATGTCAGCCAGGGGACGCATCTAAAGGCTGCAGGACTCGGGCCCTCCAGAAACGCAGTTTAAAACCACCGGCTTACATTTTCTTTCAGTGTTGTAATTTGACTGCCATCCAGCAGAGGGCTGTCATGAGTTAATCCACTTCATAGAGTTAAGTTCCTTTGAGAGAAACCACAGACAATAGTTCTGTATGAACGTCTCTCTGTTAATGGGGATTGAAATATTTTATTTTTATTTTTTCTATTTAGTAACCTAAGAGGTTTGTGTCTTGTTACATTTTATAAATGCATTAATTAATGTGAGATTCACAATTTTCTGTTTATCCAGTTTATATAAATGACACCTTTTCAGCTGTTTAACCTGTATTCATGCAGGTAAATTCATTGAGATTAAATTCTCACTTTCAGCAACAACCTGTTCAGAAAACATTCCAATAAACAACAGAAAACTGAAGGATATTATCAAACACAATCTATATTTTTTAATTCGGCGTATTCTGAAAAACGTAGCCTTTCATGTTATGGAAAGATGGTCGGCTCTCTTGATACAAGAGAAAACTCAGGTTTTTAATTAAACCTTAGTCGATCAATAAGATCAGCTTTAGATTAACTCATTAATCGATAACTTGTTCACCAGTTCCCTCCGAATCCTTCTTGTTTTCCGTCTCTCTCCTCAAGACATCTAATCATCCATCCTCTCCTGCAGGTGGCGCCAGACTTCTTTGAGTATTTCCGGGCCCTGCACCCAGTGCTGCAGTCGGACCCCAGCCTGTGGTGCGTGTCGGCCTGGAACGACAACGGTCGGGACGGGATGGTGGACCCCGGCCAGCCGGCGCTCCTCTACCGTACCGACTTCTTCCCGGGCCTGGGCTGGATGCTGCTCCGGGAGGCCTGGGAGGAGCTGGAGCCCAAGTGGCCCGCCTCCTTCTGGGACGACTGGATGCGGCAGCCGGAGCAGCGGCGGGGCCGTGCCTGCATCCGGCCTGAGATCTCCCGCACGCTGACATTTGGCCGGCAGGGCGTCAGCCTGGGCCAGTTCTACGACAAATACCTGAAGTTCATCAAACTGAACTCCAAGTTTGTGCCTTTCACCAAGCTGGACCTGGCTTACCTGCAGGAGGATGCGTACCGGACCAGCTTCACCAAGCAGGTGTACAGCGCCGCCGTGGTAACGTATGAAGACGTGAAGCAGGGCCGGCTGAGCGGCTCCGGACCGTTCCGGCTCCAGTACTCCAGCAAGGACAGTTTCAAGGTCATGGCCAAGAGTCTGGGCATCATGGACGACTTGAAGTCCGGCGTGCCACGGACCGGATACCGAGGTGTGGTCAGCTTCTTCTACAGGGGGCGGAGGATCTACCTGGCCCCGCCTCCTGGGTGGAGTCAGTACGATCCCACCTGGAGCTGAGGATCCGCAGAGCGTCTGACACATTCCACACCAAAGAGAAACAGGATTCCTCCTGTTTGCCTTTACAGATGCTGGATGTTTAGGAGGTTCAGCCAACACTACTCAGGTTTCCCTGCATCGCACAGCAGATCTGCTGTAAATCACCAGAGCTCTATTTTTCTATGATTCTGATTGTGCACATTGCAGCCACACATTTAATGCATCAGCCCAGTTTGCCTTATTGTCTTTAAATTATTGGAGTTGGTATGAGTTAATCCTGAGAAGGAAGCTGGTTCATCTAATCTGTGATTCTGTCTGCTGATGACTGCGATGAAACTAAATTCTGTTCTTCCTGCTCACATTTTGTCAGATGATTTTGTTTGGAATATTTGTTGCCTTGGAATCACTGTGGGGATTTGTATGTTTATTTTTCTTTTTTTAATAAAAACAAAATTAATGCAGAGTTTTTGGTCATAATGCAACTTTTTCTCTGTTATGATCTGTGACTCGTCTAATGTTCGAGCTCATTACTATTCATATCTATTTTATGCAAACTGTTAAGGTGGACCTTTTAATCTTGTATTTCTTTCCAAGCAGAGACTGCAAATTACTTCATATTTTGAAGTCTCAAGTACAATGTTTTATTCTTTTACATTTGATTAATTAAAAATGGAACTGGAACTTCAGCCCTCCAAAGAAAACCCAACAGTCATAAAAAAAAAAGTAAAAAGTTTTGATAATGACGCTGTGATCTGGTTGAAAGGGGGATATAATCAACTTACGATTAAAAAAAAATAAACCAAAGTATATTTATATTTAAATAATTGAAAATTAAACATACTATTGTGAAATCGTGAGTTTTAAAACATTTATTGTCATTAGGTGTTAAACTACCGCAGTTTTATTGTGTCTACGGTGGCTGTCGTGGTTCAGCTCTGAACTTCATCTGTGATGATGGTGTGAGAGCGGAGCGGCTAGCTGGTCTAGCTCTGGAGTGGAGATGTTAAGAGATGGAGGAAAGTGGCGGTAAAATAAGTTTTTTTATTGATTAAGCCTCCACATGGTTTGTACTGAACAGCAGCTGTTGGTTCTCACATGTTCGCAGAAAACGTAGCGGTGGAATTAGCATTTTGACAGGCTAGGCTAATTTAAGCTACTGGTTTCTATACAGGCTAGGCTAGGCTAGGCTAATTGGAGCGCCTGTCTCTACAGAGTATGCTAGGCTAGGCTAATTACGGGTTCGGGTTTCTGTGCAGACTAAAAATGGCTTCAAACTCCTCTCTCTCCGCCACTTGGATTATTTTCTGATCTCCAACCGCTTCTCTCTCGGTCGCTGCTGGGAGGAAGGTGCTTCTCGCCGGGATAAACCAAGCTAATAGCCGCCCGTCTGTCTAGGGCCTGGGATGGAACCAGGCGACTTGCGAGAAAGCCCCGCCGGCTCTGGGGAGTCGGATGTGGGGGGCTGGAGGGAGGTTATTCCTGGCGTTGGGGAGGAGGGGGAGGATTTGGAGACGAATGCTTCCAAAACGAGCGGGACAAAAGTAGAAAATGCGCTCAGAGACGCCTGTGACGAAGGCGACAGTGAAAGAGGCGTCCGAGAGCAGCTGCACAGCCCGTATGAGGAGGAGCTGGACCCCCGCATTCAGGTGAGACCACCGGCCGCTGGTGTTCCTGTTAACAGCTCTTTAACCCGTATTAATAGTGGCAGATATATGATCACTGGATTACTTTCGATGAGGGGCGAATCGGACGGAGCTGATTAACTATTTAAGAGTGCGTTGTTCTTCATTATAAATCATAATAATCTGTGATAATCCCACTGTCTGTCAGAAGTAATCATCTTTGTTGCAGCGCTTTAACAGCAGAGCTCCACCAGCTTTCAGTTTCAGATTAGCCGTCATTGTTGGCCTTTATTCCCTTTAATCCCAGAGGTAAACATGTTGGTTTGCTCTTGCAGTTGATGAATTTTTGTTTGCATTTTCGCAGGAGGAGCTGGAGCATCTAAACGAAGCCAGCGCAGAAATCAACAAACTGGAGCTGGAGCTGGATGTAAGTGGAGATGAGTCAGTCATCAGAAGATTCAGCTTCAGATGCCACTCTTTTATTGAATATAGGTTTAACACACGAATACAATTATCAAATGTTTTTCTGTTAAAGTTAGTCTGATAAATGTGTGTTTGTAGTTCCCACACTTAAAGAATAAAAACTGTAAATGTTAATATCTGGCTGTTCCTTCTGTGTGAAACCTGATCTGCGCTCCCAAGGCAGATGAATCTGATGTGGTTCATTATTTTCCTGCATGAACCCTGAAGGATGCCAGATCAGCGTACAGGAAGATCCTCACTGAGTCTGCCAGGAAGCTGAACGCTCAGAGCTCTCAGCTTGGTGGCTGCATCGAGAAAGCCAGGCCGTACTACGAAGCCCGCCGCCTCGCTAAGGAGGTACAGATCAATACGCCTTGTCTCAAACTGTGTGTGTGTGTGTGTGTGTGTGTGTGTTAGCAAAGTGCTGCTGTCTCTCAGAATCAGAGGCCGGCTGGCCTGCTGGGATCTCCGGACCTTTTACTGCCATCTGCAGAGTCCAGGAAGGAAAACCGTTCACAGTGAAATGATGATAAATACATACATCAGTCTGAAGGATTAAGAGCTTCGTAGGCTAAAATACTGGAGGAATGAACTTCTGGACTAATTTCACATATTTGTCGTAAATTTGCAGGGAAAAATAATTAGAAAGGCATAGATTTATGGTCCTAAAACTAAGATATTTTCTGACAATGTCGAGTCAGACGGGTAAGGAAAAAAGCCTTGAAGTTGGACATTTGAACTAAAAGGTTGTTGATGTGATGCAGCTGGAGACTTTCCAGGTTGTTGGTGTTTGATCTGTTCTGGTACAAATGCATTCATCCATGCTGTTAGTTATTGAAAATGGCATTTCATTGTTATTATTTGATATGAGACTATCCACTCCTTACCTGTCAGTTTCAATTAAATTTTTTTTACTGCCTCAGTAAGGTGGTAAAAGGTCACGATACACCTTCAATGTTCTGATCTTATTTTATTGATAAACCTTGTATAATACCAGTGAAGCAAACGTGTAGTAGCAGCATGAGGTATTGCTATGAAATACAAAGATAAACTAAAACAATCAGCTCCTTTAGTCTGTAATTTGTTACATTTTTTCAGCCGTCTCTCGCAGCAGAGTGGATTATTTTCAGACCTTTGAGAACATTGATCGATCGGTTTCAGATGGAAGTATCGGCTGATCGATCGGTTCGCCTCTGGCCTGCGTAACGTTTGAGCTCAGCAGATCAACCTGCTGCTCGGCAGAATCTCCTCTGGCTTTTCAGATGTTTGGCCAAATATGTAAAATTTAAAGTTAATGGATAAAAATGCCAGCCTGTACACTTTGTTCTGCGTATTTTCATGGGAAATATGCAGAATATTTCCAGTTATCAGGGTGAAGATTTTTTAAGTAGTAATATACTTTTCATGCCTTTAAAAAAACAAAACAACTGAACATAAACAGTATTAATGTGTTTCTGTTTTGGGATCATGGTAAGGCTCCACAGTATATTGTCATAGCAACACCTCTGTGTGGAACATAGACATCTCAAAGGACAGTGAGGGAGCGTTGGTTGAACTTCCTGCTTCCTGCAGGCGCAGCAGGAGACGCAGAAGGCGGCGCTGAGTTATGAGCGTGCCGTTTCCATGCACACGGCTGCCAGGGAGATGGTTTACGTGGCGGAGCAGGGCCTGATGGCCGATGGCAAGAACACGCTGGACCCCACCTGGCAGGAGATGCTCAACCACGCCACCTCCAAGGTAAACACACACCAACACACACACACACACACAGCGCCCTGCTGCATCCCGCCTGCTGGACTCAGATCATCAAACCCGGAGCAATCTGAAGAACAGCTGCAGCTTCCGGGATCATCAGCTCGGGCCAACCGGACGTCTTCTGGACAGTCAGAACCAGAACCTGGAGCAGCGTCTCACCTGGACTGAGCAGAACCAGAACTGCTGCAGTGTTCCCAGAGTCTGGAGGAAGAGTGGAGAGAACCAGAACCAGAACCTCCACGCTGCGCCGTATTGATGCAGAAGGAGCCCAGACCAAATCCTGACATCTTTGCTCAAAATGAAATTTTTATTGATCTGATGGAATATTCTGAGACTCTGAATGTTGTTTTCTATTAAAACGATTCAATAACAGAAATAAATGCTTTAAATATTTGACTGTAAAAACTGAGCAGAATCTGTTTAATGAAATTAGATATAAATGACTGAAACATGGAGGCAAAACTCAGTTCTTCAGGATTTATTAGACCATTGGGAAGGGTTAGCCCCGCCCCCAGACAAATTTAGAAAAATCCTGCCATAGTGGGCGGAGCCACGAGTCAGAGGGGCGTGGCTACGTAGAGATGAGTGGAGACTGAGGAGGGAAGAAGCAATCTCAATGACTGTCCATAGATTTAGTAACTTTTCAGACACTTGGACTTTTTTTAAGCAACAAATCTAGTGACTTTTTTTCTTTTTGAGATTTCTGACGTGAAGCATCGATCCCTGAGTGAGCGGCGGGTTCTGTCAGAGCAGAGCAGACTGTTCCACATGAGCAAAATGAGAAACGCTCAGGAAGGTCCATAAAAGCGCTGGTCCTACTCCTGACTCTCCACCAGGGGGCGTTCCTCAACCAGGGCTGTGACCCCAGAGCTGGACTGCAGTAACACCGTTCAACCCAAAGAGGGCAGCACTGAGACAGTTTTAGGTCAAAAATTGCAACATTCAACAAATTTATATGAAAATGTCTCAATTTGCACAGAAACATGAAATAGAACCCTTAATAATGAAGTTATAAATTGTATCTGCAATAAAAAGTTTTATTTCCTCTCTAACTTCATCTAAATGACCAGAACTCGTTCGGTTGTTCTCCGTTTGTCCTGCAGGTGAACGAAGCCGAGGAGGAACGGATCCGCAGCGAGCGGGAACACATGCGCGTCACACACGCCTGCCAGGAGGCCGAGGCCCGGGTCCAGACCCTGCAGAAGTCCCTGAAGCGGGTCATCGTCAAGTCCAAGCCCTACTTCGAGCTCAAGTCTCAACTCAACCACATCCTGGAGGTACAGCGAGCCTGGTGGGCCGGAGTGTGTTCTGACACCGAGAACACACACCTATCATCAGCGCCATCAGCCTGGTGATTGGTTCATACTGGAGCTGATCCATTAACATTGTTTGAACTGTGCGTGTGTGTGTGGTCAGGATCATAAGACGAAGGTCCTGCAGCTGGAGCAGAACGTCTCCAAGGTGAAGACTCGTTACTCCGTCGCTCTGAGGAACCTGGAGCAGATCAGTGAGCAGATCCACGCCCAGAGGGGTCGCGACACGCCCGACTGCCCCACCCGCAGCCCGCCCGTCGGCGCCGAGTCCGATGCCCGGGTCCGGGAGGATGACGCGGCCTGCGGAGCCGCCACCAAGGAGCGTCTGGATGCCGCCTTGGACCTGGCGGACCGCTACAAGGAGGCGGAGCGGGAGCGGGCCGGGTCCGACTCGCTGTCTGTCTTCAGCCTGCAGACCATCGCCTCGGACCTGGAGAAGTACGACTCGGTGGAGCACCTGGGCGACCTGAGCGACGTGGGCAGCGTGACCGGAGACGAGGCGGAGCGGGACCGGACCAGGACACGGGACCCGGTGGGGCCCAGCGGCGCCAGGGAGCGCCAGCAGAACTTCTCCAAGCAGCACCACCGCAGCTTCAGCCTGTGAGCCAGGACTGGAACCAGAACCGGTACCAGGATGTAAAACACAAACCAGAACATGTAGTCTGAGCTTAAACCGATCCGATTAACCCTGCAGCCTCAGCAGAACCTCAGTAGAACCTCAGCAGAACCTCAGTAGAACCGGTTGACCCGGCAGCCTCAGTAGAACACTACAGCAGAACCCTGAAGGTCGATCCGTTCCTCTAGCATGACGAAACCATCAGAACCTTAAAAATCCCTGTTTGCTTTATTTTCTCAGACTCCGGTCCGGTCCGTTCCGCCCGGACCTCTGGAGGCGCCGTTTCCCTGCGTCCCGTCAGGCCGGATCAACTGGAAGCTAACCGGGTCGCCCGGACCCAGCAGAACCTGGGACAGTCAGGAAGACTTGATTAAAATGCTTGGTTCTGTCTGCAGCTGCAGGAGCATGTTTTGGTCGGTCCTGCGGTTCTGGTCCGGGTTTTAGAATCAGCCTTTTATTTAAATGGTGTGAAGTCGCAGCGTCAGATTTGTGTTATTTAAAATATTGTTTACATGGATTTTTGTTTGCCTTAAAAACAAAAGAAGCTCCTGTCGTGACTTGATGTGTGCCTTGACACTTTAACGCTTCTGGTTCCAAACTAATCAGAACTTTTATGTTCCAGACAAAACTAAAAGTAAAACTGACTTTTTATTTGACGACTGAAACGTCTAAAAAAAATAAAGTGGAACAGCCTGTAAATGTTTGTAATTATTCAGATGGAGAATATTTAAATGTGTTTGATGATGATCATCTGTAAATGTGACTCTCTGCTTCCTGTTGCATCAATAAATCTCATCTTTGACTCCTGAACGTGTTTTTATGAATCTGGTTGGATTTGAAGCCAAAGTTTAAGATTCAAACTACAGACAAATGGATCTGCTAGAGGAAGAGTTAAAAAATAAGGAACAATATCGGTTTATAAATTACAACCATATTGCAGTGTGGTGAAATTTAGTTTTATTATAATTTGAATTATTGTAAAAATAATTTTCCTATTAAATACAATAGAAATATTCTTTATTGTCCCTCTAATTGTACATTGTTAGAAAATAGAAATTAAAATAGCACACTCTTAAGAAATATTCAACTGGTCAGGATCATTTTAAAAAAATGGTAGAAAATATGTATATGTGCACAAAATGCAAAATATGAGATTATAAGAATATAAGAATCTGTAGATGAGCAGGAACGTGAACAGCAGCGATGGCCCTGCAGAGTTCAGGACGACTCTAAGGAAGCCCAGCAGGGTCAGTCCCGCTCCAGGTCTGAGGCCGGTGGCCTGACTGCTGCTGCAGGTTAACACCTAATAAACACCCTGCTCCTGACTGATACCTTTCCAGAATGAGATCAGTTCGGGTTCTTTCAGTGAAAGATGTCATCAGAGTTTTACTCCATTTGAATTGAAAATGTTTCCTTGAATATTGAAGAAATGATTATAAAATGAGTCGGCGGTGTTCGTGTCCTCCGCAGGTGTTTCATGCGCGCGCAGGGCTTTGGCTCGGCGGATGAGCAGAAACCTGAGCGAAGCTTCTGTCATTTAAGCTCCGAGGAGCTTTTAGGCTTAAAGCGTTAAAGCAGCGGCGCCATGTCTGCGGCGGCGCAGCGGGGCGGAATTTGCGGAATGATCCTCCATCCAAAGCGCTTCGTAGCTCCATCAGGAGCTGCTTCCTGCCGGGCTGGGCGCAGTCCGTCCCCTGCTCGGGTTTCAGAAAAAGCCAGATGAATACGTGCGGGAGCTTTTACGCACGGTGCGTCTCCATCATGACGTCGCCATGAGCTCCAGATTGTAGAGAGGAGGAGGGGAGTGCTGAATCGCTGCTCGTCGTTTCTGTGCATGCGTTTGTGTATCTTTATTTGTGTGTAAGCGTGTGTGTGTGTGTGTGTGTGTGTGCGTGAGTGTGTGGATTTTTTTCCCTTCTTGTCATCTCTTTGCAATACTTGGAAATAACCCGGACCAGCGCTGTTTACGCGCGGAGCTGCTCGCTCATTTACTGCAAAGCCATAATAACAGAGCCATGCAGAGCGCGGGGAGGATGCACCTTTCTGCCCACTAATCCGACTCACTGGGAGGACTGGTCTGGACTGGGAGCCATCGAACCGACAGTAAGTACCTGAGGCTCGGCTTTCCGGTCCAGATCCACTGCGGCTGTAGCGGATCCGGGCAGATGTGGCTGTGAATGCAAAAGGCAGCATGCATATTCGATGGAGCCGCCAGGCCCGAGCGGGAGCGATGCTCGCGTTGTTCCAGAGATTAGACGGTGACATTCTGGGTCAGGCTTCCCAGCGAGCGGCCGCCCAGGCGGCGGGAGGTTGGGCTTCCCCTGCAGGCCGCCACGGACTCCCTGAGCAGGAACCGTTGGCAGCTGCGCTGTGACCCACGGTTCACGCTCAGCCACGCACGAAATGCAGCATTTTGCGGGTCTCTGCGTGAAGCAGCGGGGTGAGCGCTGTCCGCGGTGCTGAAACCGAGCCGGATCGGCAGCTTCCGGCCGGCAGCCCGCTGCTGGGCGGTGGGGCTCCGTCTGTCAGGCCTGCTCTGGTTCCGAGGCGCTGGCTGGAATTCCCCAGCCGTCCTCACAGCTGATGGACCGAGCCGAACCGGTTCGGCCTGCTTTCCTTCCCGCTCCGCTGGTGGAAGCGTCGGGATTTCCTTCAGTTGGCTCATCCGGTCCTCCTCTCAGCCAGGAAGGAAGGAAATGAAGAACCAGCAGCTTCTCCCCGCTGCCATTAAGAACACGGATGTTATGGAAAAGTTCTGATCCAAACCCAGTTACACCACCTTCCTCAGATCTGTTCAAGTGTTCCTGGGGATTTTATTGGTCTTGTTCTAACCTGAGGTTACAGACCATAAATGTTTTTATGGATATATTTCAGGTAGTTTTGCTCAGTTGTGGAGTCCCACAGGGTTCTGGATTAGAACCCATTACTTTTCTAAACCGCATGTTTTGTTCCATAACTGCTCAGAAACATGGCTGCTCTTTGTGATAACATGAAGCTCTGTTTGCACTACCAGCCTCTCCCAGTCTTTCTCAATTTAATTCAAATTAAAAAATCTTCTATTCATCTCAAATGGAAACTAGATATTATCACAACTCAAATCATCCAAGTGTCTTGAAAACATCGCTGTGGCTCCTGTAGAAACTCCAGCAGCAGTCAGTCTTGTAACGAATCTAAAGAAGCCTCTGACTGAAGACTGTTAGCATGTTGCTAACAGCTCAACATTCGGGCTGCAGAGACGATATTCCATCATCATCAGGTTTCAGCTCTGCTGTGGCTCTGGGATCATGATCCGTATGACGGATGAACTTCCTCCGTCTCTCTGCATCATGAAGCCTCCAGGACTCCTCCGGGACCTGGGGTCAGAGTTCAGGGATTATTTCGGTTTTTGAAACAGCATCCATAGCCAGAGGGATTAATAATCCAAACATGCAATGATTCAACCAGAATAACGATGAGATATATTTATTCCAGAAAAGGAATAAATCAGAACCAACAGATCTGCTGAAATATTCTAGAAAGTCTTGAAGTCATTTAAAAAATCTCCTCAAACTTTAGCGGCTGTAGTTTCTATCCATGTTTTAGTTTGTTAAGCAGCTGACCTCTGACCTATGAACATTACATATTATTTCTAAACGCAGACCAGAACACCGAGTCGTTTATTTGGGATTTAAATTATATTTCTCTGCTTTCAGAGCCAGTTTGATTGTTCTGGAGGATTCAGACTTATTTTTTATTAAATTACATATTTCCTTATTGCACCAACATTGAGAAAAAATTTGTTTGAATTACATTGTCAGGCAGATGATGTATGGCACATAACAGAAAACTCATCAAGGCAGAATTAAAAGATTCTGTCAGAGGCTCTTCACCTTTTTCACCTATTTTTAGTTTAATCTGTGAAAATCCCAAAGTTTCTCAGTCTGGTATAGAAATTATGAACTTAGATCTAAGTAGGTGATTCTTGCTAAATGAATGTCCTCAGCTTATTCACTTTTTAAACAAACACTCCATAGTTCTCTATAATATTTAGACAATCCTTCAGAAAGTTGAGAAAATTATTAATCCAGATCAGTTTAGATGATTATTATTATAAATCCTTCTCACATAAAAATGTAACATTTTATTGGATAATACAGATGTTTATGTCTTTAAGATAAACATGTGTATGTTTAGTGAGTTGTCAGATCAAATTGTTCACATAACATTTACCAACATTTCAATGTTTTCCAATGACAATAAACAAATTTAACACTGAGAAAAATATTGGTTCTGAGTATTAAACCCTGAGGTTCTCCAAAACTAACGCGAAAGAAATCCAGATCAATTAAAATGAATGAGTTAAAAAACGCTTTAAAAAAAATCAGATTATTAATAATTTGTTGAGTTAAACTCAAGACTAAAATCTAACAACATTGATAACTTTAATAAACTGCGTTTGAACAGAACTAAAACGTTTGCAGCCTTCAGACGCTCAGAGAAGCAGCAGATTCTTCTGACTGAGCAGCAGCCAGAACATCAGCGATAAACTTCACGTTTAGTCAGCAGCAACACAGAACTGTTCAGATTAGAGACTTTGACTGAAGGAAGAGGAAATATTCTCATTTTAATAAATAAACCTCAAAATATTGGAGAAAAAGACCAAATTTCCTGCGTTGGGAATGTGAAGGATTGGATTTAGGAGCCGGCTCCTGGAGCTGCTGGGTGGATGTTGGTTCATCAGGCAGTTACTGCAGCAGCTGACAGGAAACTCAGTGGGCGGGGCTTACTGGTGTCACAGCGACTCCAGGTGTAAATAAACTCTGTTTTTAACCTTAAATGCACCAGAAAACCTTTCAGTAGCAGCAGTAAAATTAACATGAAGCTCAGCTGCGTCCAAAATATGGAGGAAAATTATTTGGATCCATAGTTGTTTTTTTTATTGTTCTCTTTTATTTTCCTTTTTCTTATTTTCTTTAAAGAAAGAATAATGTGTAAAAAGTGAGACATATAAAAGAAAAGGATCCAATGAGTTCATGTTTCTGCCTACCTCATTATTAAAAGGTTATCTAAATATATATCCCTGGAATTTGAATTATGGATATGAATATGTTTGAATTAAAGAAATAAATATGAATATTCCTGGAAATGTGGGAACACAGAACATTTTGAGGCCCACATTGATACACGGGAACATAAAGAGAGTCTGGGCTGCTGAGAGCAGCAGAGTTACAGTACAGATGTAAAAATGTCCAGTTTGTCTTCTTCTCCTCCGTTCCTTATTTTTAAACCTTCTCTCTATTCCAGATCAAGAAATGGCGCCGATATTGTTTCTGATTATCCTCTGCGCTCTCCCAGCGCTCGTTGTGCCCATACATAATTCATCAGCGGGAGGTAATTGGAGTGTGTGTGTGTGTGTGTGTGTGAGAGTGTGTGTGTGAGAGTGTGTGTGTGTGATGGAGTGTGTGTGTGATGGAGTGTGTGTGTGATGGAGTGTGTGTGTGTGCAGTGAGATTCCTGAGTGAAAAGCTGGAATCTGTGCAGCGAGGCTCAAACCAAAACAGCTGGAGTTTCTGAGATGTGTCTACCTGAAGACAGATGTCCCCTGCTGTCCCTCATGCTGTCTCTTCCTGTCCAGGCTGTGCCATCATCCGGCCTCCGCGGGACGGAGGGATCCGCTACCGAGGCCTGACACAGGAGCAGGTACAGAACCACAGCGGTTCCTGTCTGACATGAAGTGTCTGCTGATTACTGCGCCATGTTGGACTTTTCAGCTCATCAGTTAGTAATCTGATTACATGCTGGAGAGCTGCAGCTGTTTGAGCTGCTGGACCCGATCAGGACCAAACTGAGCAGAACCCGACCTTCTGGCTCCTTTCAGAGCCACGCTGCAAAAACACAAAACCTCACCAAAAACTTCTGTCTAGATTAGCGGTTCTCAACGTGGGCGGTACCGC